CTCCGGAAAAAGGAAGTCGAATATGCTATATATATGAACCCTTACAGCCAACACATTACTCTCAAATAACGAAAATAGATTATAATCGGTCCACAGGAGACCAACTCCAACACTCCTTTTTTAATCAATCTCCTTATTTTATTATTAAACTTCATTGAGTAGTTTATATATGTACATATGTTATAAGCTGTCTGGTTTCTACTAAATTAGAAAGAAAAACTGGAATAGTGTCACACCTGCGTTGGTTAAAGAATTATAGAAATAGTTCCTTGAAATTAAAGGCAGACTTCGTTAGGACATTACTTGAAATTATAATAACACTGCTCCCAAAATTATCGATTAGTAATAACGGAACTAAAACCTTGACCAAATATACTGATACCATTCTCTTGCAATCATTAAACATCTTGGACAATTCGCAAACCATCTTTTCTCGGGTGCGTTCACAACTTAGACGCATTTAATTGCAAAGGTCACGCATTGAGCAATAAATCGGCAATTAAAAGTGTTGCCGTTCCTTTTCATTTTAATCATTGCCGCACATAACAGTGGCAGCTAAACACGAAAGCCGTCCAAAATTTTACGCAACTCGCGACCATTCATTTGCTGGCGCTAGATATTACATAAGCGTGCCATAAACAATTTATAATATTTTCGCTCCCTTTACGGCGCCTTTTCGCTCTTTCTAGCGGTAAACTGGTTTGACTCAACGTCACACGCCGGCCAAAGTCGAGCAACGGTGCTCAGTGACGTTTAATTGCGCGCAAACATTTATCGCAACTTGGCTGGCATCTTTCAACTAACTTTTAATATCGCTCTTATTTTCAGCTAATTTCGTTATTTTCTTTAAATGATGCTTTTAATTTGGTTGATATTACGAAAGAGATTTCTATCCAGTGACCGTGAATTTGTGCTTTGATGAATGGCTTTTTTCCATTCGCTTTTTATGTTTCCATTCAACAGCTTAGACGCATTTCAGGGCTGACCAATTGCCAAATGCTTAAATACTTAAGTACTTGCGAGCGCTTGCATGTAAAACGCAATGGACTTATGACCACTGCCGTTTGCCTCGACATTTGTCACTTCAGTGACAACTACAAATAGCGGTAATTATTGAATATTGCCGCCACTTGTGATTCCAATGCTTTTTGCCTGCTTCTTCGCTTATCAAATGACAGCGCTTTAATGCCACTTGAGTGGCTATGATTACTGATAAGCCAAGGAACAATGCCGCCGCATATCATTACTCTGCCAACTCGAGGTGCAGCTGATTATCTCTGCACTTGTTTTGACGCGATTAAAAATAATAATAAAAAAAATTTGGAAAAAACGAAATCATTTACCATTCATTTACTGGCGATGTCTAACTAAAAACGTTAATAAGCAATTATGAGGTAATTTGTCAGTATCAGATTACCAACAGTTCACTTAATTGATGGCGCTTTTTGTCAATCACTGAAGTGGAATAATTGACTTTACAAACTAAGTTTTATGTCATAATTAAGGTTTTAGCGGAAAATACTAATTATCTTTCAATTACATAATTTGGTAAAAATTCGATTGCCAACGATGATTTGATTAAAATTTTTAACGAGCATAATTATCAGGTCCAATGACTGGGTACTCATGTATATTACTCTAACTTCATCTGATATAAGAATATTATTTTAAGGCAGGTTTTTGAAATCATACGAATGCATAGAAATAATGTTATGTTGATGCTAATCGTAGGGTTTTAAGTTTAATAGTTGGAATGATGACATTATTTAATGTATGGGATGAAAACAACAACATTACAAAATCGAGGATGCGAAAACCGCTCAAGGAGGGGTGACATCTGCTTAAATTATATGTCTAAATTCTATTCTCTGTCGGTTGTATTCTCGAGAATGATAGCTACCTTTTGGAAAAAATGTAAATAATTTATTGAAATAAATATCCGGTTAAATTCCTCATAACCGGACATCAACCGTTTTTCGCCCAGATAAGGGAGCTGTCCCTATATGGGGGCTTGCAGAAGCTAGAACTCAGAACCAGACGGCACCATCGCAAGACAATATATTTACCCTGATAATTTTACGTATGTTCTTGAAAAAATAACTGACTTGTAAGACTTACGCCCGAACAACGTTCACTAATCGTTCAACTCCATTGTGAAAATTCACGTTCTATAAAGAGCGCTTCGCTCAATTTCTGTTCAATATAATTGGCCTACTTGAGACCCAGCATTCATTATTGGATAGCATTCCAAAGAATAGACCTCACAATGAAGAAAATACAGCAGTCGTGACTGACAGTGTACACGATGTGTACACGTGGAGAGTCAATTCGGCACCGTTCGCAGCAACTCGGACTGACTTATAGAACCACTTGGCGCATTTTACGACGAGAACTTAATTTGAAAGTGTTCACAATGCAGCTTGTGCAGGAGCTAAAGCCGCTCGAACTTCCCAAACAACATCGCATCTATGGGCTTTCGAAAAGTTCCAAGAAGATCCGACGTTTTCTAGTCAAATTTTGTTCAACAGTTCTAGCTTAGTAGGTATATAAATAAGCGAAATTGGCGCACGAAGAGCAACTTGCCAACCGTTTGGAGTGGTTTTTGGAACGGTACCTGTGGAATCCTGGGTCTATATTTCTTCAGAAATGCTACTGATGAAAACGAAACCGTCAATCGCAACGTTTAACGCGCCATGATAAGCGACATTAGGCTTCAACAGAACTGTGCCACTTCCCACACACCACATCAATCAATGGATCAATGGTAAGAGAACACTTCGGTGAGCAGATAATTTCACATCTTGGGCCGATCGATTGGCCACTTAGATCTTGTGATATAACACCGTTAGACTTTTTCCTGTGGGAATATAGAAAGTCTAAAATTTATGCGGACAATCCTGCTTGGATTCAGGCCTTGGAGCAAAACAGGCCATGGAGCGTGAATGTCATTCGCCACTTTCTAGTCGAAATACTCGAACGAGTCATCGAAAATTGGAAATTAAGCTCGTAATCTATATAGAATTTCGGTTCAGTGTTCGAAATAAATGCACGAACACCTCGATAGCGCCACTGTTCCTTCGTTAATTGATATTTTTATGAAACATAATTAAGTCAGAACGAACAGGTCAAAGTTCAATACAGAGCCTGCATCTTATTTGAATAACTTTTGTAAATTGAAGCTTAGGATGGCTCAGACTAAAATAAAATTTGCACGAAAATCCAAAAAGTTCAATTTTAAGCACAGACATGCATGCATATGTACATGTAGAAGACACATGCCTTGTGTTGTCTCAAAAGCAATCAATGAGCGTTTGTCTGCCTTACATACGTATGTATGTGTGAATGTATAGATATGTTTTTAACATAATCGATTCCGTCGAAAACACTCAGGTCTCTGTTTGACATACCAAGAACACCACAAACATTATATTGATTGCATTGTAATGCCTGATAGAGTTCTGTGGGATTCAAATTAAATTCATGCATCACATGGAAAGTCGGAAGAATTGAGCATTATTTGTATTTCTAGAAATAAGTTTTACGTTGTCTTACTAAATTTGTTTGATTTCCAAAGAAAACTTTTAGACAAGTGCACTTGCAAGATAGAAATATGTTGACATCCGTACATGTACGTATGTATATATATTTGTATATAAATTACTTAAATCAAAGGCCTGATATTCTTGAACATTGAAACAATTATTTTAGTTATGTAAATAAAATCTGCTGAAACTTTTTTGCAAATCCACTTAGCTCGTTGTGACAAATTAAACACGCTATGACACTTGTTATACAATACTATATATTGATTAACGTAGATACCTCTAGTGCAACAACGTCAAGCTATCGTCTAGCAGTAAAACAAATATTTTGTATCAACTCTTTTACAAGCACTCACAGCTGAATGAGTTCAGCAAATTCGTTTGGGGGAAGGGGCAAATAACATATCATATTTATGGCACTCAAAATGTAGTCGTTCACAGTTGTGCACAGAACTATAGCAAACATTCTCTTCCGCGAAGTTCGTAAACTCAGTCTTCGTCTAGATATTTGGGTTATTGTTTACCAGGCTTAAAAGTTGGATTAGTTTTAAAGAAAAGTACATTACTTTAGAAAAGTTCGACCATTTTATAGCTGTATATACTAATTTTAGCGATCCTACAAGTTTTGGATAACAGTTCTACCAATCTACGATTTAACTTTAACATTGTGGTTAAATTTCGTTCAGCGAAGATCCTCTTGAGGTATGACAATAAAAAGAACCGAGCTGTGGATTCGGGCGGTTGCAAAATGTCCAAATACCCAAGTCCAATTTACCCAATTTTTCTAATAATTTTGTTGATTTGTGACGCAGTTCATAGTCTCCATTATAATCTTGTGGTGCTCACTTTCTTCAGAGCTTTTGCATATCCTTTATCCTTTACCTGATATCCTTAGAGCGAATCATCTTGATCTACGATCATCTTAAAGTCTTCTAAAGTAATTTTGTGGATATTTCAGTTTTTGCCCGTAAGAGCATCTCTTTCTTTCGGACGTCCATTAGGTTCATTATCTTCATATTTTCGTTCGATTTGTAAGAGGGTGCTCCCTTTCGCACACTAACTTTACAGTTGTGCAATGTAAAACTTCTCGATATCACTGTTGTCGTCAAATAGTATCACATTGAACTTTTTGAAGTGTGCCAATATTAAAAGGGTGCTATACATAAGTACTTGTAATTTTATTTATTTAGGTATATTGGTTTAAGCACTCCTTTCACAACATGCTACTCAAAAGGTATCCAATAACAGTATATTTTTGTACAATTTTTGAAGAGCCATTGTGTTTGAATTAGTACATACCTTGTATCCAAAAATAAATATTTAAACAAAATTTTAAGGTTTTTCAGACATCAAATAAAACCGATTTTAAACTAAACATTAGAATAATGCTAAGCAAACGTAGTGCTAAGCAAACGCCTACTCAAAGCTTTTAAAAATTAATATTTGCTTCACTTGCAGCTTCATCACACACCTTAGATAGCACTGGAGATCCAACGGCATCAATACAAAATTGTTTAAGCGAAGTCGGCAGAAGATAAAAGATTTGTGAGAAATGACCACAACTACTGAAGAACCCATAACAGCGCTAGATTCCACTACGTCGTTCACAGGCAGCAGTAACGGAGATCTAATAGTGACGCCAGCGTTAAATAGCGAGGAGTTTAACAACCTAACCTACGATGATGAAAAGAGCATTTTCGCACATCCCACATTAGCAGAATACTACAACAGTGAGTATAGCTTAGATCGCTCTTGCTAAAGAATAATATATATTTTTTGCTCTCCCGCAGATCTCACGCCCTTCGTCACACTTTGCATATTCGTCTCCGTCTTAACATTTATGCTCACCATTTCCATTTTTCTCACGACCTTGGCTAAGCTTCAGCAACGTCTTCGCAAGCCACTGCTAGCTCCTTCCATAGCGCTTGTGTCCTTGTACCCGCTCATCAGCCTTGCAGCATTGCTCACACTACTCTTGCCGAAACTATGGTTCACCTTCCACACTGTGATGCATCTCTCGTTTACGGTCGGCGCCGTCTTCTTTTATCAGCTGTGCGGCCATTATATTGGCTCTGAGACCAGTTTCATTAAGGAGACAGCGGGCATGGCTGTGGCGATTAAGACACCACCATGTTGTTGCTGTTGCGTATGTTTACCAGGTGTGACGCCTACTAGGGGGCGATTTGTAGTACTGCGATGCCTTGTTTATCAAATGGCATTCGTTCAGGGCAGCATAATGTTGGTGTTGAATGGCATCTTCTACAATGATATGGTGAGTAAAATGAACTATTATCGTTTAAATACTTTTACATTTGGTCGGATGAAATGTCACAGCGTTGTCTTAACTACTCACTGTGCACTAATCTCATAAATCCATTAGTCCTTCTAAGGCACATCAATAATTTTAAAGCGGTAAAGTCTTATTATATGTATATTGGATAGATGCGTTTCCCTCATTTTTTCAATCAAACACACAAAAACTTCACATTTAATGGAGAATGTTTGTTAGCAGTCAAAAGAGCATTCTTTGGCATTAATTTTTGAAGATTATCCCTTTCAAATGTTGCCGACTTTAGATGGTCCATCCATTGAGTCCAATTTTCGACGATGCTTTAGAGTATTTCGGCTGGTAACTGGAATTGTCTTTCTGTATGGAATGGCAGCTCTTGCATTTCTCAGATTGCTCTTCGTCCCAAATGCGGAAATTTAGCTTGTCTGGAGCCCAAAGAGCGACCACCTCTATATTACCAAGCTTAGTTAAAATATCTCCTTCCCTTCTCGGCAAATACATCTCGAGGTCATCATTTTTTGAGTTGGTAGAAAACTAAAGATAGTTTAACATTAATAGAATAGCGCTCTTTTTAAATGGATCAGCTCTAAGAAAACCCTCAACTACGACAATATTTTCTCCTACAAAGAATATTTTGAATATTTCAGCCATATTTTCTAATTATTTAGTATTTATATCGATAAGTGTTAGGCACATCCAAGTCAAACCTTGTAGGACTCTTTATTATATTTGCATAAAGTTCTGCAGACAGCTGCAGGGTTTCTTAGAACCCATAAAATTCGACATATTCCAGTTTTGAAACCTTGATGAACTTAAGCCATTAACTAAAAAAATAAGTTCAAAATAACCAACACTTAATGCAGCTCGTACGATCTTAATTGTATAAATGATTAAACGTGGTAAGTTCCGGAAAAAATTATAAATAGAATCAAAAAAGGTCTGTCTGTCACGCTGTAATTTTTTTTTTTTTTGTTTTTTTTTTTTTTTTTTTTGTTTTTTTTTTGTTTTTGTTTATTGAAACGTAACAAGATATGGTTTTACATTTCATGCAAATTGCAACTAGTGACAAATGTACTAACAAGCAATATTTTTCACTTATAAGGTAAAAGAATAAAGCTCTATTAAGAAGCTTTTTCAAAATTAGACTTTGTATTAAAAACTAAATATTATAATATTTGTTATTTGCTTAGAAGGTCATGGAACGTTGTTCTTTTCAATCTGCGCATGCTATTTCTAGGCTCTCCTAGTTGTCGGGCTTCAGCGTTTACGTGGTTTTGCAACCTTGKGGCATGTTTCGATGCCGTTTCGCGAATGACTTCCCGAACCATGTTTATGTGAAGATCACGATGGAGATCTAAGTTCCGTATGTACCACGGGGCATTTACAATTATTCGTAGAACTTTATTTTGGAATCTTTGCACCATTTCAATGTATAAAGGTGCAGCACATCCCCATAGCTGAATTCCGTATGTCCAAATGGGCTTTAACGTTYGGTTGTAAACTAAAATTTTATTTGAGGTTGTTAAGGGTGATTTCTTGTCGATTGACCAATTTATTTTGTTGTATTTTAGTTTTAGTTCTGCAACTTTTCTTTGAATATGCTCCTTCCACTTTAACTTTGCATCCAGAAATGACACGATTATATTAAAATTAGGTGGTTATACATGAATTCCAGAAATCTATTATCAATCTAATTATCTCCTCGTGCAGTCAATCAAAATTTAGTATTTACCTTAGTTGTTATAACTGAATTGCAGAAATATTTTATCATCAAATAATCTAATTATCATCTCGTTGGAAGAAATATAGTATTTAACTTATTTGTCACGCCTGAAATCCAATAAAAAATTGATCAACCAAAAATCTAATTATCACCTCGTACCGTCGATAAAAATATGGTGTTTAACCAATTTGATATTAGAATAATAGTATTCACTAGAGTCTATAGTATAGCCCAAAGGAACTAGCAAAAAGAGTCATTGGAGCGCCACACCAATTGTTTGGTGTAATAATTGTCTAACGCCAATAATATAGATAAATAAAGCCGAAGCCCACCAACAGCCGCTGGCAATGCTATAAATAAAAGGCAAATATGTACATTAGACTATTTAAATAATCCACAACAACGTATGCTATTGTTCTTACTACAACAACAACAACAAACGTTGCCAAGTATTTGTAAGTTATCTGACAAGAAAGAGGTGTAGCCTCGGTGGCGCAGTAGGCAGCGCGTAAGTCTCATAATCTTAAGGTCGTGAGTTCGAGCCTCACCCGGGGCATTAATATTTTTTCGATTGTATTAAAATAACTACTATTATGATTCCTGTATACTAATTTTAATTTAATGAGAACTGTACAAATTATTGATTACATTTTCCATTACCAGGCTTTATTCCACGATGTGCAATACTATTTTCTGCCATTCATCATTACTTCTATTATACTCGGTTCATGGGGGCTGAATATAACGGTGCGTGTGGTGAATAATTTACATTCGGATTACAGTACCACGGTGAGTTAAGTTACATTTTCAATAATAATAAATAACTGTAATTTTGTAATTAATTGTCGTTTAGAAAAAAATGTTCGCACTTCAGCTAATTTTATTGCTGTGCAAGATGCAGTATCTCATATTGGACAAGCAGCTGGATAAATTATTACTAGGCGGCGACTATCCGATGAATCATATTATCTATAAGCAGTGTAAGTTTCACTAATTCTCAACTATTTACAATTATATTATTGCAATTTAATCATTACAATCGTTCCTTCCTTTTGCAGCTATCATCAACAGCTTGGTCGTGGTGGAGATGGTTCTGGTGTCGCTACTCGCTCAGAGTGCTTACAGAATTCCAGTTATAATCGACGATAATTGAAGACAATTACTTAAGTAATCTACTTAAATACTTACGTTTGTACTTATGTAGCTAGTTTGTTTTAAAAGTAGTGCTCATAAAATATAGTTCTTATTTTATCAAAGTAGTCCTAATCTACTTTTACGAAATGTAAACTCTGGTTTATGTTTAGTCATTTGTCACAGGTCAGGTAGCTTAAAATTTAAACTTTAGCTCGACTTTTTCTTTAAATAATTAAAAAAATTCAGCACCATTAATTTTATAAACGATAATGGCAAAAATTGTGATAGCTAAATACTTTCAATACATTTTAATCTACCATTAACTAGAATTTTATATAAATATAACTATATTTTTAAGTAGTGTATAATATTTTGTAGTGAGAAATATAAAACAAATATATAATTATCTACATACTTTACTGTGTTAAGATACAAAATCATCATCAAAAACAAGAAAAAACTTTAACTTCGTTTGCTCGTTCCGTTGTCATGGTAGCCATGGTGTAGATAGATAGAAAATAATTGAATGGTCCGTTGTGTCCTCTCCTATATCACATATGGTCACAAATTTACTGGGCGCGAGATGGTATGATCCCAGTCCACGTAGATGGATCCTAAGATCTTGAGCCTCCTTCTCTAAATTGCTGAGCAATCCAATGCTCTCGGGGGAGGTCTCTCTAAATATTGCTAAATAACCTGCCAGTGCCGTTCTTTCCCACTTTCTCCTCTATGCGGAACAACTCCTTTATGGTGTGAGACCCCACCGCTATGCATGGTTCTAGCTCCGTCATCTTGGAAGCCCCTGCAGAGCGGGGGGTCGTCGTTACCTTTATGCACCGGCATCCAGATTAGCTGTACACGGTTGTAAACTGTTAGTTGTCCTCCACTAATAGCGATTTCAATTCATAAGCTGAGATCGCTTTAGTACCGCTTGACTATCGCTTAGTATAGCAATACGATTTCTTCACACGGTCTTATAGCAAACACGCTCGGTAAACATCCCAATGGTACGGATAGCTTGGTATGCGGTCCCCAAAGCCTGCTCCAAGTGAAGTTTACCCTCTTCCGTACGACGTCTCTTGGAAGAAGGTTTGGTAGTGTGTCTTCCCTTAAGACCTATGAAGGCCTACCGAAGACTGCGCTGCTCTCGATGCCCAAGCAACCGCTCTATAAGTGAGAATAGGGCTTTACTATCATTGTATACAGTCACCTGACAATATCTGCTTTGAAGCCAAAGGATCTACCGGCTAGGCGTCTGCATATCATGAGCCTCGATGGCTCTGCACCATGTTAATACAACATGTTTGGGAGCCTCAAGAATTCAATATTTTTAGTCATCTCCAACTCTCTGACACCTAGTGTTAGGGGTCTTAAGTCCGAAAGAGATCTTCACTTTGTAAAAGGGACGACGATTGGATTGATATTTAACCCTACCGTATTACACCATCCCATTGCTAGACTTAAGCTCCTTTGGCCTATTCTAGAGTATTCTCAAATTTACCTCGCGCCATTATGACAATGTCGTACCCCTGGCACCGAATCCCATTGTTTGGGACCAACTCAAGGAGCTCACCTACTACCAGGCTCTATAGTAGGGAGATAAAAATCCACCCTGAGGGCAACCTCTTTTAGCATCAAAACGAATCTTACCTGCTCTGTACGCGTGCTAACTGGCGTGTAGGTTTGTAATTTTCAGCTCCTTCGATTTTATATAGTTGTCTACAATATTTTCCTTTCATTTTGGTATGAAAAAAGTAAGTCTAATTGGCCTGGACGATTTGACCAGCGAATAGAGATGAAGATTACTTTCGCTAGTGAGGCAAGAGATCTTACACACCCTGTTGCAAAATTTTAGTTTTATAAATAATCATAAATTTCTGAGGTTTCCTTTCGACGGCTGTAAACTTCATGGCAAACATGGAATAAAGCTCTCAATTTCGAAATAAATACACATGATAATTGGCTAAGTCGCATAACATATCGTCAACTAAAACGTAGAACAACGTGTTACAGAAAAATTCGAAATTTCTTTTTCTTCAATTATAGCCGAGTGAACAACAGTCGTTTCTTCTTTCAGCAAATTGGCGCCAATTCGAGCCACCAAGTGAAGCCAAGTCCTTCTCCGCCTGACCTCTCCAACGGAGTGGAGGTCTTCCTCCTACGTCACTGAACTATGTCAGTGCCGTCGTATATCTCATACAACTCTCGTTCCATCATATACAGTATTCAAAGTTGCCAATGCGGAAAGAGCCTTAAATTTTCCACAGAACCTTTCTATCGAAAACTCGTAAGCCGACTTATCAGATGCCTCTGCACAATACAGCAGGACAGGGATGATGAGTGACTTGTAAAATATGGTACTTGTTCGTTGGAAAAGTCAAACGAAAAGTTATATTTGCAATAAAAATGTATTTCCTAGCCATCCAACTTATTACATACGAATAAATAACCAAATAACACATAATAAAAGAATCTAGTACTTTTGGCAATTAAATTGGGGAACTAAAAGAATAAATAAATTCTCCTTTTAAGCATGCTCCTCACATGCTTACAAAAACAACAAAATCCTATATCACTTTCATAAGCAAATTAAATTGTTTTACACTCGGCTGCCAATGGACTAACCATTCGGTCGAGAGAGCACTCAAATATGTCAACTGAACCAAACGAGTAAAGCTTAGTGAATAGAATAAAAACAATATAACTGACACATTATTTTTTTGAAGATAGCTTCAATATAAAAATGTTAGTTTGCAGAATATTTAATCCGTTAAAGCTTTATATCAAAGCTTTTTAAATTAAATAAAAAAGCCTAAAAATAAATTTAAAAACTCTCGACTCGCATACATACATATGTATGTATTTAAAAATATTTAATATTCTTAAACAAGTAAGCAAATTTTGCTATAAATTTTTGTTCAAACATTTTATTCTCGTCTTCAGTTTTTGAATTCATCCTTCTCAATAAAATCTTCTTCGCTGCACATACATATATGCAACTACAAACCAGCTTAATCCCTTTCGCTTACTGGGTATACAATTCAACTATAGTAATTTGCTGTTCGAATCAAATATTTAGTTCCGCTTGCCTGCTTTTAGGCGCCCAAATGAATTTAAATGCTTCTCGGCGCACACAAACGCACTAATGACCTATTTTGCGTGGGAATTCAAAGTGCAAATGGAATTTTCAATCAATAAATCAAAGAGGCGCTAAGCACTAAAATGCGCAGGCTAGGCACGCGTATGAGTTGAAATGCTACGCACGCACACATGCATAAAAACAAGCGCATATAGACATACACATGTATTTAGTGGCGCGAACGGGATGAAAGTGTGCTTTTGTTGCGAACCGGCCACCGGTTCGTTAAACACTTCTGGTTAACTAAGCAAAGAAAACACAGCGTATGTTCGAGTATCGGAGAGGCTGTGAATTATTAAGTAGATGAATTGAAACAATCGGTGCACGAGTTTAGCTGATATGCAGTTAATATGCTTGTAATGTATTACTGAGTACAAAATCTCGGAATTTTTTTAATGGCACAATAATAAACTTTTTGAGAAAAGGCATTGATGCATAACTATTGAATTGCTTTTTGTTAAAGTCCTTAGATCAAAGACATTTATAAGGTTGCCACTTGTTTAAAATGGAGGATGGAGTCATGTGTAGAAGCTCACGTGAGGAAAGTTCTCTGATTGCCATTCATTTGGGAATGGCCAGAAACGATTATTTTATATGTGACTTCCGGTCTTTGACCAAGCACTCTCTGGGTAGCATAAGAACATCCGTTTGAAGGCGAGGTAAAGTGACAAGGCGAAATATCCCCAACATAGGATTGTGCGCTGGGTTTGGTACCCGCCACGTAAACAAACACCCGGTTTGATTGCCCGACCATGAAGAAGATTGAACAGCAATTACCCGCCTGAAGAACAATCCAGCGGCGGGGCCGATGGATTGCCGGCCGAGCTATTCAACCATGGCAGCGAAGAACTGATGAGGAGCATGCAACAGCTTCTTTGTAAAATATGGTCGGACGAAAGCATGCCCATCGATTGGAATGTAAGTGTGCTATGCCTAATCCACAAAAAAGGAGACTGCACAATCTGCGCTAATAACAGTGAGGTAAACCTCCTAATCATTGTATATAAGGTTCTATCGAGCGTATTGTATGAAAGATTAAAGCTCACCGTCAAAAACCTGGAAAATCAACAACCGACCAGATATTCACCGTGCGCCAAATCTTGGAGAAGACCCGTGAAAGGAGAATCGACACTCACCGTCTTTTCGTCGATTTCAAAGCTGCATTCAACAACACGAAAAGTAGCTGCCTTTATGCCGCGATGTCTGAATTTAGTATCCCCGCAAAACTTATACGGCTGTATAAACTGACGTTGAGAAACACCAAAAACTCCGTCAGGATAGAATCGAAATATCTCCATGCCATCAAACAAACAGTCGTCGCACTCGCGACTTGGCTCTCACGTCACAGTTCACAGTCATAACTTTGAAGTCGTAGAACCAGCGTAAACAGCAACAACAATGTCGGCCTGGAAATTCAACGCAGGATAACTCTTGCCAACAGTTGCTACTTTGGACTGAGTAGGCAATTGAGAAGCAAAGTTCTCTCTCGACGAACAAAAACCAAACTGTAAAAGTCACTCATAATTCCCGTACTGCTGTATGGTGCAGAGGCTTGACAACAACTGATCAGTCGATGTTGCGAGTTTTCTAGAGAAAAGTTCGACGAAAGACTTATGGTCCTTTACCCGTTGGCCAGTGCGAATATCGCATTCGATGGAACGATGAGCTATACGAGATATACGACGACATTGATATAGTTCAGCGAATTAAAAGACAGCGGCTACGCTGGCTAGGTCATGTTGTCCGAATGGACGAAAACACTCTAGCTCTGAAAGTATTCGCGCAGTACCCGCCGGGAGAAGCGGAGGAAGAGGAAGACATCCACTCCGTTGGAAGGACCTGGCTTCCTATTGTCCTATTGCATTTGTGTGCCTGTACCTTCGGGTATGGGTGTTTTTGCATAAACTTGTTTTGTCGGATGGTGTTCGTATTTGTTCTCTTTACAAATGCTACAATTTTTTGTTAGTCGGATTACATCATTTATTATATTTGGCCAATAGCAAGGTTCAAGTATCTCTAATGTATATTTTTTTGCTTTTCAATGTGCTCTTTCATTATATTTTCTCTATCCGCTTCACTTGTAATGTCCTTTGATAGATTTTGACAAAAGACCTTTTTCTCTATATTAAATGAAGAGTTTATAATATCATAAAT